CTATTAAATGCCGCTGAGCCTTATTTAAATGCAGGGATTGTATCCATGTGGGTGACGTGCTGCGGTATCAGTGTTTCTCAACTAGCTTTTATTGGGTGGGTTACACTGCTTTGATGCCCAGACATAGAGCTTTAAGCACTGATTATAGTCATCACCACAGCTATACCTAATACCTTTGTAAAGCCCCTTTGTTCTCTTCTGTGTATTTTTGTTTCACGGTCACTGTATTGGTAATGATGGTTTTGCGTCCATCAATCTAGCTAATTTTATATGGATGTCATAGCAACTTAAACCCATAAGAATGGTGTTCAGTTCAGCCTTTTCGTTTAATTATTTCCATTTTTTCCTGTTTGAAGAAATAAAAAAGATTAAAAGATCAGCAATGGTTTAAACAAAAATAAATCACACTGTTGGGGCGGCCTCTAGCTCAGCAAGCTGAGTCCTTTGCAGTAGCCTGGATTTGATTCCAACCTGCGGCCCTTTGCTGTGTGTCATCCCCATTCTCTCTCCCCCCTACCTGTCCCTCTCTAGCTGTACTGCAATAAAGGTAATAAAAGCCCCAAAAAATAATCTTAAAAAATAAATAAATAAATCACACTATTACCTCAAGCTCTTTTTACATAGAGATCCTGCAACAGGGCAGCAACAAAGTCCCTTCGGTATGTCGGCCTTGCTCTTTTATACAGAACCAAAGAACACCGGCATAATGCATGCCAGTGTTGTGGAAGCAAAAAAGGCAAGATGTGTGATGCAACAGCATTGTCCTCTAATGTGACATAGGCAGCACTTTCTAAGCATTTACCATCACTGTTATGTGGTGGTTGATTACGTCCTCTGCTTGGAGGGCAAGGAGTTCGCAAACTGCATTATTTTCCCAATTTACAGCCATTTTTGCTTGCTGATTTTCCCCTTTTGAGTTAGCTGCTAACTGCTGCCAGCTGCCTTTTAGATCTGGTGGTGAGTTGCACACATAACACCTTGCCAAAACATCAAACCCGTTCCATCCCACTGGCAGTTTCTTTTACACAAATGTCAATTTGGTGCTGTTACTGCCTCCACTGCTGACTTAAATTCCAATTACGCAATCACGCCTGTCATACAAAACGCTGAGGCGGAATAATAGCGTGACATTCGCACCTCGAACAGGCTGCATAAATGGGGCTTTAGTTTAACATAAAGCCTGAAGACGAGAAAAACAACCAGCCTTGCTCTAGTCCTGTAATATCACAACTTTTTGTTTTTACATTTTTTGTACAGCTTAAAGAAATGAGGTATATGCCCAGTTCAGACCAATGATTCGCAGCGAGACAAAACTGGCCATCTGAGCTCGACACCAAGCCGGTTGATGGTGTCACCTGCAGCACAGCTGGACAAATTGCCGGCGGCTGGTTTTAGAACGTAAAGCTGGTCACCTATTTCTACAGCCAATGGGCGTGTAGTGAAGTCCGCTGGTCAAGTCAAGATGACCACATATGGCATGTTTGAATGCTGCAGCAGGTGCTCCAGCCTCGCCAGGCCCTCTGTTTTCCCTCCTCATGGTGTGCCAGTGTCAGATGGTGGGTCGCTGTTGCTGCTCGCTGTATGTGCTTATGCCCCCCCACACACACATTCTCACTCACTGATTAATAGGCCCTGATTATTGTGGCATATTTATTATGAATACAGTCCATCTAATGCTCGTTTTGTTTATGTTTTTCTTTGTTTCATCACTACTACAAATGCAGCTGCAGCCAGTATCTCACTATCACTATCCTCATTCATATTTGAAGAAGCTAGAAATTATATTCAGCCTCAAAATAAGCCCATAAAGATGGAAATCAGAACAGAAGTACAGAGAATTGTTGCATAGAGATGATACGCTGTTTCATGTAGAGTTGCCACCTGTCCCGTTTTTCCCAGAATTGTTCTCTTTTTTCATCAGCTGTTCCGGGAAAAAAAAAATCTCTCCCGGAACACAATTTGTCCCGTTTTTTGGGGAAAATGCAGCAGCAGCAGGCCAAGGAGTCCATCCAGAAAGACGCATAGTGCGTCCAAATTAACACCTGTTCTTCTCTATGGATTTTCTCTGCAACCGTGCGTCATAGCAAGAAGCCACGCATATCACATGAAACAGTGGAATCGTAACTTTCGGAATGTTTTCACAGCGAAAAAAATGATAAAGTTACACTAAAATGATGTATGACAAAGCTTTCATACAGCTTTGCACACACATTATTCTTGGATGGATTACTCGCGAATGCAGGCTCGCACAGAAATGCCACACATATCACATGAAAGAGCAGGACCAGAGCTTTCCTATGATACCACACACATCATTGTACTGTCATCCCATCACGCTATAAATACAGATCAATTGTCTACAAAATAAAAACCTGACGAATTTCTTTACAACCCATGACACAGATCTTGTTATCAGTCACTTCATATAGTGAGGAATATCGTATCTTACCACGTCTTAGGCTTGCGTGTGTTTCTCCCTGTCTATCCACATTTGTAGTCCGGCTTTCAAGACGCAAATATCTCCATATTGTCCAGTTGACACTCCATCAAACTTTGTATGACAAGACCAGCCACTTCACCTTTGCGCAGCCAGACAACTGCAGCCTAATTATGCATGCATGACAGGGCCATAATCACCATATACATTGAGGGGGACACGTGCCCCCCCTTTTTAACTGCAAACAAAGTGGCAAATATTATCTTGGAGGACATCATTGCACTTGGTTGACTATTTTTCTATGATCTTAGATGTAAATATTGCATGTTTCTTTCAGATAAAACACATTTTTGACTTGTGAATGAGTCAGTGGAATTTCTTGCAATAATGAAAAATACTGTCAATCATGTCCGCCTGGCACAAACCACATGTTTTGGACAACTGTGAAGTGACAGAATGTCCCACCATCATGGTTCTTATATTACCAGATTCCAGAGAGTCTCCCCTCTTCATATATGGCAGAATATGTCTTCTTCCAACTTGCTATGGTGAGATACATGTAAAAATTTAAGAATTTAATAACATGGATTTGTTTTTTTCATTGATATAAAAATTTATATAAAATACAGGCACATAGAAGGACATGGAATGATGGCAAATCTGGTCTCCTATGTCCGAATTTCATGTTCATTGGTCAGTCTGAACTGGTAATAATGGCCGAGCCCTCCGCCTCAAACATTTTGTTGAGTGTCCCTTTTTTTCACAAATCCAAGGTGGCAACCCTAGTTTCATCTAGTTGCATTGGTGTCAACCTGCAGCTTTTTACAATGTTGCAGAACGGCGCATTGCAAATAGTTGCATGTTTCAGCTCATCTCGTTGTGAATCTTTGGTGAATTTTGTCATCTGTTCACAAAGCCAGGCCAGCTGTTTGTCCATGTTTCCAGTCTTTATGCTAGGCTAAGCTAACTGGCCACTGGCTGTAGCTTAATATTTAACAGACACATAGCCTAAGTGATATTGATCTTCTCATCTTACTGTCCCCAAGAGAGATGAGTTTATTTCCCAAATGCAGAACTATTCCTTTCCAGTGAGATGAGTGGCCACAGGGCAGGGCAGTCATATCAGTACCAGCATGGCAGGAAACAATTTAAAACGGAAATACAGCAGAGCTAAACATGATGCAGAACATGCCCTGTAGAAAATCACATTATTAAAGTGTCTGTTATTTGTCATCTGCTCGCTGTAGAGGCCTCACTGACAGGCTTTACTGACTCTGGTTAGTTCAGCGTCACACTCGATGTTGTTTCAGAGCTGACAGCTCCTAAAGATGAGTGACAAGTGTCGGGAGTGTGAACCTGCTCAGCTGAGTGTCAGGAGGATGGCATTAACAGCAGACTGTGTTGACTTGAGGCAAACTGTTTGATATGGTTGTGTATCTTTTACTAAGGCAAAGCATTAGGCTACAAGAGCACATAACTATTTTATGAACTTGTTTAATTGTGTTGATGTGAAAGTGACACTCGACAACGGGGGAATTAGCGTGTGGGAAACAAAACAGACGGCGCAGGAAGCAGACGTTCATGCTCGTCCTGGTATCACAAGCAACTGAGCAAATACGTCCCAGTTGTTACTCTGTCCTGATGTAGACAATGGTAACCATAGTAAAAGTATTTACTTTTATTCAAATGGGATTCAAATTAGCATCAGGCACAAAGCAAATGAATTATCCGCCCCATCTTTGCACCTCTCTGAGGAAACCTTTAAAGGTCTGATGAGTTAAGAGGGAAAGTGAGACCAAAACTTTAGTTGCACTGCAAACTGCGTTACACTTTGCAGCACTTTTGTGGTGCATGAATATAATCACACAATTTCACAGCTGAATGCACACAGAATATTTGAGCATCTTCATTGTTTCGCGCTTTTCCTGTAGAATCCAACATTATTTGTCACTGACTGAACAGATGGAAACTGGTTTTGGCCACCGCTTTGTTCTCTCACACTTTGCTGAACGACTGATGAGCTGTTTTTGGATTTTAGCTGTCAGATTTTCGTCTCCACACACCCGCACTCATGCGTTAACTTAGCCTGAACTCTGAGAGGTCTGAAATGAGAATCTGAATACCAAAAAACTGAGCAGCACCTCATTTTCAGTCGGGCCATGGCAGCCTCTTCTTCCCTGGAGCCCTCTGGCTCTCACCCCTCATCGCAGCCCATTGAGACTCTTCTGCTGGCACCCTCCTCCCTTCCCCCCTCTCAAGCACTTTGTCTCCATGGCGATGTTTTGAAAGAAATTTAGGGCAGGAAAGGTTGTTTCATTTTTTTTCTAGGGGAGCTGTAAAATTAGAATTCTATAGAAACTGCTTTTTTTAGTGTATGTAGGCAAACAAACGCTGAGTGGTATTGATAAATGTCAGTCAAATATGTACAGAAGGAGACATTGATGCATTCAGAATAACAGTTTTCAATTTTCAGTCAAAAAATTTCATGCTGTGTCGGAGCTGACCAGATTAGCCCTTTTGAAAAAGTAATTGAAAATTGTGTCTCTGCTTTTCTCTCTCGCAGTCAGCGGTTTGGATACTGTTATCGGCCTCTATGGGGAAACACTCGAGATCCCGTGCAACAATGGAGCCATGAAAGCAGAGGACGTCCTGATCACTAAATGGAAATATGTAAGTCACAGCAGAGGTCAATAGATTCAAAATGGTGAAGTCTGTCTGACACCCACTTATCATGTCTGAACCACACCCAGTCTGAGTGCATATGCAGTGCATTAGGCCACGCATCTGTCCCTCCATATGACACTGCATGAGCCGAGGGCGTGGAACAAAAAACACTGTGTGATTTTTATTTGAACTGGAAGCCACTGCCATATGTGACAGACTTGTAACGAATGCACTCTCCTCTGCTCTCCAGGACAAAGGAGAGGGACTTCCGGGAGACCTGCTGGTCAAGCAGAAAAACCAGAATGTCTCAATCAGCGCCACTCTCGAATACAAGGGCCGTGTTAGCATGGCTGCAAACTCCAGCCTGCTGCTCTCTGAGGCGAAGCTGTCCGACCAGCGCACTTTCACCTGCATGGTGGTGGCTGGGGCAGACATCGAAGAATACCCAGTTAACGTGGTGATCTACAGTGAGTACAAGCTGGCAAAGCCCTGAAATAACTGTCCTTTGTTGGGTTGCACTAGTTAAAGATCTCATACTGTAAACAGTCAGATTTCCATGCTTTTTTAAATCATAAAGCAGGTATAAGTGCAATATAAATACTGTGAAAGTATCAATACCTAAAATCCACAGAGAAATGCACACAGCCTGTATCAAAAAAACTTGGCCTTTTGGCAAGCCATCGGGACTTTAGTGAAGTTGTGATGTCACAACTATACTATATAAAGCTGCCTCTGCAGTGCCCTTACAGTAATTTCCCAGTTGCGGAGAAATCAAGAGCGCAGATGTGGAAGACCACGAAACACTGACAAATCAGAGCAGACTGGGCATTTTCACGAGTTGGGGCTTAAAGAGACAGGCAGAAAAAAGGAGCATATTAGACAGAGGGTGAATACAGATATATTTAGGGAGACAGAATGAGAAAATTAAAGTGTTCTAGTGCCGTGAGAACACGAACCAACTCTAGGCAATTATGCAACTTTGTAACAAAATTAGTCCCTGATTTGGACCAAAGCAGGTGGACTCTAGGTCTGAAAGCACCATTAAAGTGCTATAACAGGCAGACTACGTGGGGTAATCTAGTTCAGCAAAAACCCAGAAATATATAATATAATATTGTACAACATATTACAATAACTGTAATAGGACTACTAATGAAGCACATTAACAATAACCCCAGTGTTAATTAACGGCACTGAGCGACTACGATGTGACGCCTTCTGATGTGTTCTTCAACTGACTTTAACTCATCTTGAACACATTCTTACTGAGACTTTCTGCATGTGTTGTATGTCATGTTTCTATGTGTGGACCCCAGGACAAGTAGCTGCTTTCTTAGTAGTAGCTAATGTGGATCCAAATAAAGCATAATGAGTGACATGTTGAACACAAATCACCCACACTAATACTCTGTTCATTAACACGTTTTTTTTCCATGTTTTGCAGAGCCGCCGGCAGGCCTGGAGATTTCTGACAAAGCGTCGGAACTGGAGATTGGCAAACTTAATAAGGTGGGTTTTTAATGATAAACATTGCTTATACCTACATTATTTTAAGCAGTAAATCATCAAGGGAAGTCCCTCACTTGAGCTAAGGTATCTTGAGGCATAGCAGAGACCATGTTCCTACAGTAATGAGTTCTTTGAAGTGATTCTCATGAATTAGTAAAGAGCAGAATCCCCCCTACTGCAATTAAAATACCCAAAGGATCTGAGGGGCTTTAGAAATGCTTTGGGCATTTCATGCTCTATTGCACAGAAAACTACTTAGTCCTCTAACGCCGGAAAGGCGCCAAAAAGTTAATTTGCTCAGATGTTTGGTCATTTATAAAGATGCAGATTTATTCTACGTTCATGAAATGGTGATTTTTCTTTCAGTATTTTTGTCTCTAAGTGTAGGTCTCTGCCTTTTTTTTTGATTTCTGTTTTTTTTTTCAGCTCGGAACATGTGTTGCACCAGACGCCAATCCAGCTGCAAATATCACATGGCTTAAGAACAACATACCACTGGTGGCTGATGGGAAAGGTGTGTGTTCTTCATTCGGTTGGATGCTTAATGCCAAAATAACAGCTCTTTGAAGTGGTTGTGACATTTATAAATATTACATACTGAGATGTATTTATTCTCTCTGACTGGGACAGTAAATTATTCCTCAGCGATGAATTGCCCCGCACTCTCCGACAGTGTGAATGCAGTGTTTTGGTCATTACGCCATTTTTTCCTTGTTAGAGTTCTCAGACAGAGTTGTTTGTTTTCTGTCCAGGGATTTCCATCGAAGCCTCAATGCTGCCGGACCCTGTTACTGGCCTTTCAACCACTACCTCCATACTGAAGTACTCGGCCAAGAAGGAAGACACGGATGCCGAGTTTACCTGCAGCACTCAGCACACCGTGGGCTCAGAGCTGGTGTCCTCTCCAGTGACCTTCACTATCACCTGTGAGTCACCGAACCTCGCTAACAACCTTCACTGGACACACTTAGTGAAGTGCACCAGCTGCTGTCAACCAACAAGCTGTCGACAGAGTAACTTCTGCACAAAATCAAAGATGACAGCGCTGGTTGATGAGGACCTTTTCAGGCTTATTATTACCACAGACAATGAAAAGTTAATATTTTGTCCTATTTACCTCCTCAAAGGAATAATTTTTTAACTTTTTATCAGGATATTTCAAAAACCTGTTCACAGACTGATGTGGAAAACTTGTACATCATGTCAGTCATCACTTAGATGAATTCAAGAATAACTTAGTGAACCTCAGTTGACCTTACTTGAGTTTATATTTATTACAACATACACCTGTTCGAAGAAGCTTTTGGCACAGCACGTGTGCATGGACAGAGATATACCAAAAGCTTCAAATAACATTACATTTACCCAGCCTTATACAGTATATCCTAATTCATACAGAATCACAATCACGCCACCTTGGAGGATGCAAAAAATGTTTTGGAACGCATCCAGAACATCTACAAGGTCCTCATTTTATCTTAACTGCCAGATACGCAGAACAAAACCTACCATAAAAGAATATTTCTTCTACAACACAGACTTATAATAGATAAGATTTTAAGTTACATCATGTGCAAATGATCAAGTGGTTTTTGTTACAGATCCCCAAAAAGATTCAACATTTTTAGGAATCCATGTATTCATTTTCTTGACGAGAGTAAGATGAGAAGATTAATACCACTCTCCAACCAGGATGTAAATATGAAGCTACAGCCAGCAGCTGTTTAGCTTAGCTTAGCATAGAGTCTAGTAAAAGGGAAATGTGGCAAACAACTAGTCTGACAAGGTCCATGAGAGAAAGGCTGGTAGGTAGGTATGGTGGAGCTGCAGGGTTAGTTGAAATTTACTTGGTTAATTGAGAGAGTGGCATATACGGCAGGTAAACAGTGCCCACTGTGACTTTTTTTTTTTTTTTTTACAGATTAAATAAATGAGATATATAACATGTGGAATAGTGAGCTTCCAAGGTGCCAGGATTGTTTATCTTTGCACAGAGTCAGGCTAGTTGGTTCCCCTGTTTCCAGTCTTTATGCTGCTCACAGCCTCCTGCAGTATATTCATATTTAAGGCACGGATGTCAGAGTGGTAACAATCCTTTCATCTACTCTATGCAAGAAGGGTAAAAAGCATTTTCAAGCATAATTTCCTCACTTGATTTGGTATTTCGATATAGATTAGAAAACAGCAAACAAGCATCCCCTGATTGTCCATCACCTTGGGTATTTTGATAGAGATCCAAATCCAGGTGCAGACTAGAAACTTCTAAATATTCTGTTCTTAAAAAATAGAGAGTTGGGCAGACTGAAAGCTCGCGGGCTCTTTCTCTGAATGAATTCCAGGTTTGCTGAAACATATGAAAAGTTAAAAACAACAACAACACTGCAGCAGAAGGTTCTCCTCTTGTTAAAAAAAAAAAAATCACTCACAGCTGTTTAAAAAAATTTCTTGGCAGTATCGGTGCTTTTCCCCATGGTGACCATTATATATTTAGTAGCTCTATCACTATTGTAATCTTTTTTTTTTCATTATTTATTTTGCCATTTTTTGGCACCTATTTACTTCTGTACCGTTCATTGTGAAAGCTTAATTTCAGAGTCAAATTGCACATCTTCAAGTGATGTATGCGTTTACTTTTCTGTAATCTAGCATAAGAAATTTAAAGTGTTAAAATTTTAAATGGAAAGTCTATGGGAGAAATGTTTGACAGCTTAAACCTCAACAACTACAGGAGCTAAAGCAATTGTACTCATATGTGCCCCATCTGGAAATGCTTAGCATATTAAAGATGATACCAATAGCGCCACCATGTGGTCAGTTATTTTGTGTTTTATGTTTTGGCTAATCACTCATGAACAGCGAGGCATAGTAAAACAATATTTGCCCAGTGTGTTCATTGGATGATGGCGATTTGATTGATATAGGCTGCACCCATTTATGCGAACAGCATTTTTCCACCATTTTGAATGTTTTGTGAAACACATTTTCTTCCTCTTCTGGCACATGTTTCATCTAATCCAAACAATATTTAGATGGTTTTTGAGTAGCCTATCATTTACTGTCTGTCTGTTATTGATTACCAAAACTTTTGAAACCAAACTTTTGAAGGTGTGGTGTGATGCAACCAAATTTGAGAATATTCAGACAGCATCAATGCACATGTTTTTTTTGTTTTTTTTTAAATCATACAATTCCACCCACAGGAGGCACTAAGGTGTTATTAAAACATGATATTTTTACAATTCTGTTGACTTTGATAAACTGAAACTTGGTAAACATGAGCGTGTACTGGACATATTTAAACATGGCACCAACAGCCCCACCTTGTGGCCATTAGCAAAACACCACTATACTACTTGTAAACTGCCGTATTGCATCAATGTGTATTCCATGGTAACCAAATTCATCAAAGTTGTTCAGATGGGGTTGCTGAACATGTTTGTAGCATTTGATACAGTTTCACCTGTAGATGGAACTAAAAATTTTGAGCAGTAGCTGGGAGCAGCAGCAGCGAACAGCTTTCAGCTCACACAAGCATTTTAATTAGGAAATGCAAAAATTTTGCTTATTCTTCTAGTATTAACAAGCAAAAAATGGTACTTTATTAAATTCTGAGATCACCTTTTTTAAGTGGGTATGTTTCTGTGTGATTGCAGTATATTTTTGGCAAGTAAAGGACTGACAAACGTTATCTAACATGACATGAATTTAGAAAGAGAGTCAAAAGTAGCACTAGCCTTACTATTTTATTGAAGTCAGAGTTTTTTTCAATATCACACACAGTGTCTTGCTGGCCTTTTCAGGAATACAGTAGCAGCAGCTCCTGACCCATGAGCTCTCAACAAAGACCAAGAAAAACTGCCTTAAAAACCTCAGCTCAGCTCTTCAGCTGCATTTTGAAGTTCGTTGCACTGCCCTGTCTGACTTCCTGTCTCCTATTTTCTGCATAGACACCACAGAAAACATCGTTCTTCAGGTCATCACTCAGGACCCTTTGGTAGAGGGAGACAATGTGACTCTGAAGTGTGTGGCAGATGGTAACCCGGCTCCTACCAGCTTTAACTTCCAGCTTAAGGTGCACATGCTCATCAATATCTCATTGAGACGCTCAGAGATGGTGTCCATTCATGCTTTCTACATGTATTGTGCAGTTTTCATCAATACGGCACTGTAAACTAATCACCTGATTGTATGTCTTTAAAGGAAGAGTTGGTGAAAGTGGAAAACACAGACACTTACATAATCACGAATGTCTCACGTGACACCACCGGTGAATACAAATGCTCTCTTGTTGACGACCCAACGATGGAAGCATCTAAGGACATCACAGTCAACTGTAAGAGACCAAAACAGTAGAAATAACTGCAATTTTGCTATATGCCGGTCAGCATTGTTGTCAGGGTAATTTCACTGTCTGCCTGTAATCTTGTTACTATGAAAGCGAAAAAGGGTCTGCTAGAGAAAAGAAAGTCCTAATGTCTCTCTTTGCCAGCCTACCTGTCTTGCCGTGCTTTGTGGTGAAAAGTGTTGTGTCAACCAGACTACCTCTAATAAGCTGCATCTGCAGGGCAGTGAGCCAAGTGCTGGGTTTCTGTGGTTAACAACAGGAATGCTTCGACCCTTGTCAGGCCTCTGAACCATCTTTTCACCATCCTCTTCTCTCTTGTTAGACCTAGACATCAATTTAAGCCCCTCTGGAAATATTGTCAAGAGTGCCGGCGAGGCCCTGGATCTAAGTTTCCAGATTGATGCCTCCGGAGACGCCAAGGTCTCCTGGACAAAGGTAAAAGCAATATCTTATACACTGAACACTGAATCACTAAAGACAAGTTAGTGGTTGTTATTGACCATGCTCCTTTTCATTTCATTCAGGATAATGTTAAACTGGAGAAAGAGCCCAAGTTTACCAAACTGACTTATGCTGACTCTGGCCGCTATGAGTGTGAGGTGACGATGGGGGTCCTCAGCAGAAAAGCTGCTTTTGAGCTGGCTGTCGAAGGTAAGGGCTTAAAGGACACTCCAGGTTTTCTCACAAAATCCATTTACTTGCTGTATTGCTGAGGGTTGGATGAGGTGATTCATACCTCTCATGTCTGGATGGTAAATATAAAGCTACAGCAAGCAGCATGTTTAGGGTGACCATATTTTGATTTCCAAAAAGAGGACACTCGCCCCGGCCACGAGATAGCCTACTTAAATGATACTCGCAGTTTACTCAAAGATGCCTTATAATTTTAATATATTTAAAGTTTATATATATGGATAGAAAATTCAGTTATATTACAAAATAATATCACTCAAAGACAGAAATTTAGATAGGCTTCTCAGAGGTTACTCAACTTGCTTTTATTATGCCTAAAATAATAATCTTTTTACAAGTTTCAATTGTGCAAAAATAAATATAAATGTAAAATAAATGTAAAATCTCTGGAATGAAATAATGATGGAAATAATGTCTCTTCTGTATTAGAAAAATCAACTTGTAAAATAATAGCTATCTTTTCAAGTCTTACTGGACAAATAAATAAATAAATAATATGAAATAATGTTCTAAATAATACCTCTTCTGTATTAGAAAATCCAACTTTGAGCTCCCCGGCACCTTTATTAGACACAGAATCACATGTGCCAGCTTTGCACACGGTGCACTCAGCCTCCCATATATCCCGACCAGGTCGGGACGGTAAGTTGGGAATTTTTTCTGCAGTTCATCTGTGAAGCTGCACTTGCTTGGAAGCTTAGAATAATGCTGCGCCGCGGGTGTCTGCTGCTTCCTCGTTGTGAGTGTTGGAGATCTGCCAATAAGGCAGCCTCTCGGGGATTACGCACACATGCACGCACACACACACACACACGGAAAAACCCGGACATTATCATCAATTTATAAACACCCCCCGGACGCCCCGGACAGGACGTGAAAAGTGGACATGTCCAGGCAAAAGAGGACGTTTGGTCAGCCTAAGCATGTTGGATTAAACAACTGGAAACAGGCTAGCTAGCTGACTCTGAGCTCAGGTCATGCCTAAAAACAATACAAATTAAAATGTTATAACTTGTTTAATACCTACAGAAATTCGTAGTGTATGACTCGTGGTTTTATGGTGAGTTGCTAGGCAACCAGCAGAGATGATCCACTAAGTTAATCAAAACCACAGTTTGTCGTTCCAACACTTTGGTTCATTGATGCCAACTTGTCGATGTTCTTGCTAGATTAGCAACTGTGCAGCAACTGTGCAGACCCTCCTAGAGACTTTATTTCTAAATCACAGCTAGCAGGAGTTCAGTTGAAGTGTTTTTCTGTGGTTACTTTGATGCTCAAGCTCTCTGGTTTAGAAGTGTGAGAAAGTGGTGCACTAATGCTTCCATTAATGCTCAGTGACATCATCTGGGGACTTTTGGAGCTAGCTACTTTCATTGGAAAAGAGTTGGCAACACTGCATCGGTTTTTGCTACAGTACTATAAGCCGGGCTAGTTGTTTCCCCATTTCTAGCCTTTATGCTAAGCTAAGCTAACTGGCTGTACTTGCCATACAGATATGACGGTGATGGTGATCTTCTCATCTAACTCTCAGAATAAACATCTTTCCCAAAATGTTAAACTATTCTTGGTCATTTTGTGTGTGTGCATGAATGGAATGCAGCCATCCTGCCACACAAGCACCCATTCAGACAAAGCTGACGTATTAAGTCCGCTTGCAGGTGTTCCAGTTATCAAACAGCTACACAAACAGAGGGGTAAAGACGGCACACATGAAGTCCTGATTTGTGAGGCTGAAGGTTCTCCAAAGCCAGATGTTTCCTGGAGCATCAACGGCACCTCGGTATGCACACACACACACACACACACACACACACTCTTACAGCATTAGTCCTTATCATAATTAGATGAAATTCTTCTTCCGATAATTGTTACAATTTCTGAAGGTCATATCTATAATTTTTTTTTGTAACTGCACAGTGCACATACAAGAACATTTTATTTTTTCATGTACACTCAGCTCCTTCTGTGCGAGCTCACAGTAAATTCTTCACGTTCCTCGAGGCTTAAAGAAACCTAGAAGGGAAACATACTCTGTTGATAGTAATAAATACAGTATTTCTGTTATTGTAAATGTAGCAGCATGTTCAGTTTACTGTCACATTGAAACTTATTAAAAAACACATTATAATTATAGGATAAAAACTCAAATCTGTGAATTTAAAGGACAACTTCGGTATTTTTCAACCTGGGCTCTATTTCCCCATGTGTATGTGTGCGTATGATTCATGGGTACCACTCGTTCTAAAATTGGTTCAGTATTGAGCCGCGAAACGAGCTAAAACGGTAATGGGGGCAAATGCATCCCGTATAAAAGTGCTTTTGTTCGCCACTGACCGGTTCAGATCGCCAGTGCTATCTCTGTAAATAGCATATGGTAGCGGCCCTGGGGCAGTGGTGACTGTGAATGAGTGGAGTCAGCTGTTGGTCAGTGTTGGAGCAGAAAGGTGGAAGTTGTCCCCGCTCGGTATTGTAAATGAGTATGTGTGTGAAGTGTGTGTTACGCTAGAAGAGTCAGAGGACGGAGTCTTTTACGTGCTACCCTCTGGAGTGTTACCGGAGTTTTTGGAGTGCTCAAATAAATGGGCCTTTTTCCCGAACTCAAGAACAGGATGTCGCGCAACACCCCGTACAGCTTTCATAGGCTGCCTTTGTCAGACGGCAAGATGCTGAAGTTGTGGCTAGTTGTGCTACAAATGGATGCTAACACTCCTGTCCAGACACTGCGCCTTGCAGACCATCGGGTCTGCAGTGCTCACTTCTCCCAAGATGACTACTGCCAGCCGAAGAAGCGAAGACATCCAATCCCGAAACACCTCTTCCTCAAGGAGACGGCTGTCCCAGTAGAGAGAGCTACAGACACAGTGGAGCAAAGCTCGTGACATCACACAGCCCAGAGGTAAGGGAAAGGCTAAGTTAGTATGCTATTTACAGAGATAGCACTGGTGATCTGAACTGGTCAGTGGCGAAAAAACACACACTTCACACACACATACTCATTTACAATACCGAGCGGGGACACCTTCCGCCTTTCTGCTCCAACACTGACCGACAGCTGACTCCACTCATTCACAGTCACCACTGCCCCAGGGCCGCTACCATATGCTATTTACAGAGATAGCACTGGCGATCTGAACCGGTCAGTGGCGAAAAAAAGCACTTTTATACGGGACGCATTTGCCCCCATTACCGTTTTAGCTCGTTTCGCGGCTCAATACTGAACCAATTTTAGAACAAGTGGTACCCATGAATCATACGCACACATACACATGGGGAAATAGAGCCCAGTTTGAAAAATACCGAAGCTGTCCTTTAAAACCATTGAATCTATTCATCAAATATCCTTTTTGTTACTTTAAAATGAGCGGAATCACACATCAGCCAGGCTTCACAAGATTCTGTGAGATTCCCAAAACAGTTTCTAGATCAATAGACACAGTTAACAGAATTGAACTTGGTGTAGGGCTGAATGCCATCTAATGCACTTGCTGGTACTCAAGGTAAGTTTATTCATGGTGCTCACACTTTTAGTGGAAGCAGATACAACTCACAAAGCTAAAATTTGGCATGAAGCAACAAGTCAGAACAAACAAACTGCAGCCATGTGATATTTTGACTATTTTTAGGATAGGGGAGCTGTCAGTGACGGTGTGGAAATGGAAATCCATGTTAGGAGTATATGACCACTGTAAATAGTTCATACTATTATTCACCATTTATGCAAAGAGGTATTTTTTACAATCACAGTTTATAGTTAATCCCTAAGATTATAGTAGAGGGCTGCATTGGGATTGGGTCCTGCCGGGTCCCGCGGGACCTAACCCAAATCTTGCGGGAGTGGGCGGTTTGAACTTTGCTGCGGGCGGGAATGGGCGGCTAAAAAAACGCTGCAGGATCGGGATATAGTCTATAGCGACAGGATGGAGTTAACAAATGTTGTGGAAAAGAAGCTCAAACAAGGTCTGAAGGCGCACTGAGCCCTCTACTTACCAACGCTCTCAAAGCTGGCGCATTTCATCTTTAGTATCCCCGCATCCAGTGTGCCTTCAGAGTGGGCCTTTAGTGTCTGTGGGCGCATCTTAGAAGAAAGACGCACGGGATTGGGACCGCGGTCGGTCGGCAACATTCTCTTCCTCCATAGCAATATTGTGGCCAAGTGATTCATTTGTTAAATTCATTCGTTTCATTTGTTAACTTTGTTTATTTTATGTTATTTAGTAGTGTTATTTGAGCCACTCACAGCCTACTCTCGTTGCTATTTGTTAATTACATAAAGAGGCGTGATGATGATGCCGGTGTTATTGAGCATAGGCTTTATCTTTATCTCATTAATGTTTCTTACTCAGGTCTCTCTTAGAAAAGAGACCTTAACCTCAATCACTGCGTGATTATTTAAAGGTAGAAAAATAAATAAAATACAGAGGAGGAGAATAGAATATGAAACAGACTTTATTTCATTAAAAACTAAATGAAAACAACGAAATAGGAGCACTATTCCTGACCAGTGTGTCAAAGACATGCAAGCCAGGGAAACGAAACAAACAACCCCATGAATCTCTTTATTAATAGCCTATAAAATGACGTGTTTTCTCCTGCGGGACGGGAGAAGACATAAAATCAATGCATCTCTATTATTGTGTGGGCATAAATTCTCAGACTTTTGCGGGAGCAGGCGGGAGTGGACATACACATTGCGGGTGCAGGCGGGAGGAGTGTAACGCACACGTTGCGGTTGCGGGTGGTAATGGTCAGAAATTCAGCCGGAGTGGGCAGGAGCGGGATGAAGAAAACAGTCCCGCGCAGGGCTCTAGATTATAGTCCATGTTAGTGTAGAAACAGTAAGCGTGGTTTAACACCACAGCAGCTACTCCGTCAGAAATACATCAGAGCAGCAACTGGTGCTGTTTACAGTGCAGCCAAACAAACTCATGTTGATTTAATAAAGAGGTCGAATAGTTTTTAAATAATTTAGTATCAGTAAAGCTGCATCACATTCTGCATCGTTTCCAGTGAATCCCTTACATGTATGTAGGAGCTTAAATGCAGCAGTGGAGTGGCGGACTCTGCCACTAACACTGAAAACTGCTGTAAAGGAAGGTAATTAAGGAATGTAATCACATTTAAGACAATAAATGGCAACAAAACAGTGTGTTTTTTTAATGAATGATTATAACGTTAAGGGGAAACACTCCAGCTGAATAGGGTAAAACCTTTAACTAAAAGATATCCCTATGAAACCTCCCCAACTGATTAGCTGCATTAAGACAATTATTTTCTTGCATTACAGGCATCCCCAATTTTTATGATTAAGTATGTAAATAAGGTATTATCTAATTAATTATGCACTAATGCATATACTCCCTGTGCAAATATCTGAACATTGAATAAAGCCAGGTTCAAATATCTTATTTTATTTTGTTGACATATTAAAGTCAAGGGTTTAGACAGAGGGGATTTTGAATATCTTTTTTTATCCATAAATCAGAAAATACTGTCAACAACCATTTAAAAAAATTACTATGTTTGTCAGAATAAAATGTTATATAAATCAGTCTACGAAGGATACAAACAAACCCCTCTAAAAACCCTTCAGAATATTGATAAGAATACACCTGGAAAGTTTGGTTTAAGTGCTACTAAAGTGGAGATTTAGAGTATAAAAAATAAAAAGCTCTGAGAGGAATGACTGAACAAATAGATATCACCATTTCCCCAGTTAATTACTTTTTTTGTATTAATTTAAAAAAAAAAAAGTTTAAATATACAAATGAGGCTTCATTTCCAGAACAGAAAGTAGAATTAAAATAAACACCTAAATGTGTATTTCGACTAGTCTTAAAGAAGACATGTTATGCAAGCAAAATTGCCCAAAGTCTCAAAAACTGACCAGTGCGTGAAAAAACTGTTTTCACCTGTAGTGTCTTTGTTGTGCTTGTAGCAACCTGCCCTCTTTTCGGAAAAAGCCATTGCAAAACCATCAACATATCATCAGTGTCATGGAGGACAGTTGAAACCCAACAAGCCATAACAAGCCCGTTTCTCATCCCAGATTATGGAGAAAAACTTTCCCCCATGCACTTGTTAACTTGTGTGTTTTCCGACAGTGCACTGATTTATGAATTTAAAAAGCAAGATGGATATCAGCTTTATTAAGTGACCACACAGCCAAGTTATTCCTCCTCTTGACCACCTACAATGACACTTTTAGTTAACTTTTTAAGAGACACATTATTCAGAATGCTTTAAGTGTTTCTGTCCTTTTTTTACCCTTCAGTCATTCTTTGACTGATAAATCAATACTGGCTGTCACAAAAAAATCAATGGCCTGACAATGGTGTTCCTACGAAAGATGGCAACTGGTTTGTGCTGCAGTAACTGTGGTGACATCTTTAGGCAGCATCATCTACATGCTGTCAGCGGAGCAGCCAGGACATATTGTAGATGATCTCTATGCGCAGCAGGTGAACGCTGGCTTTACACTTTGTGGTTATTTTAGTGCTATTTAAGTGTCTGGTTCATCAAACGACATCTAAAATTCCACTTGATCCTTCTCTCTACGCTATAAACGGCTCCTTAAGCGGCAAAGACAGCCCAGAAATGCTGATATTGTTGTTTAAATATAATGGCATTGTTTTCCTCTGAACAAACCTATGAATAACATCAGCCGAGATGTGAAGGTGTGACTAAACAAAGGCAGTCTGTTTAAGCCTCCTCCCCTTGTGAGGAAGCTAAAGAATCCAAGGTTTACCTTGCCAGCGTCCTGGTCCTGAGACAGTTCATGCTTTGCTTTTGCCACAGAGTGAATACTCCCTGTTATGTGCGCAGCAGTTTGCACTGTTAGTATTTTCCCCAGCTAACACACTTATCTAGTCCAAACATTTCTCAGCGGTTGTGCTCAGTGTTTCGAAAGACTAAATTTCTGTATTTTCTCTGAGGCTCAAACACAGTATTATGCATCACACTGTCATGAAGACAATTTTTATTTAAATGGCCATTTTTTTCTCTTTTGTTTCTGTGGCGTACCTGTGTGCACACTGATAGCAGAGCCACTCAATGAAGCAGTTTAAAATTACATGTGAACCCGGGGGTGTGTGTAGGATGGTTACACTTCTTTTCAGCTCTTTCAGTCAGTGTCTAACCTCAAAACCTGAACCCGTGTGTAATAATTAATCAACTCCAAAGGTGCATGGGACTCTTTCACTGAAGGACAATGCATTTTGGAGATAACACACATTTCTGCATTTCAGTCAAAGTTTATTTTTCCTCCTCTCATCCCATCCTGTAAAGCCTATTCACAGAGAGAATAATGTAAGACTTGAATACGGGATCCGTAATGGGTATTTACAAAATTGCCACATCCCCTTGTATATGTAGAGGACGTGAAAAGGGTGTTGGCAGTTTGTCTTTGTGTCTGGGGTTTTCCTGTGAGACTCAAGTGTCTATATCCCAGAGGCACACATGCTGCGTCTTTGTCATGGAAAGGCTGAGTCACACATCAATCCAACGTCGCCCCCTAGTGGTACCAAATGTGCTCTAATTACACACGGTGGCAGGCTGAAAAGTCCAGCAGTGTATAAAATCAGATATGTAAATACTAACATTTGTGTTTTTTTCCTGTCATCGTTCAGCCTGAGGAGAGTCCCTTCGTCAACGGAATGATAACACACAAGATCACAGTCATGCCAACCGCAAATCTGACTGTCTCTTGTACAGTGTCCAATGGGTTTGGCGCAGATACCAAAACTATAAATGTGTCATACAGTAAGTACAAAGTGGGAGCACAGCCCTCTTGTCTCTCTCCGCTTCCTATATTTCCTGAAGACTAACTCGGTAATCTGCCTTTGTAGATGTTTTCCTTCTCGCTAACTCTTTCTGTCTGCATGTTGACTTGTTGACTACATAATCTTGAGATGCTTAAATAAAACCACAGTATTTTAGCAGGTATGCAGTAAATAGTGTACACACATAATGTAGTGGATCAGTGGATAAAATATGAGATCATTGTGGGCTGACATAATAATGTGTGTCCACATAGTGGGGTTTTTTTAGTGCAAAAAAAAGGGCAGGGTGCTGGGCAACAGTCAACCCAGCGCTTCATAATGCCCCATGCGTGGGTTTTTATTACTTCGACAACAATATCTTGAGGTAGATAGCTAGGTAGCTGAGGTAACACTATGTTAACAGAAGGTTGACTACACAGTTAACAGCAAGCTATGACGCATATGCTGGTAAAAGCATCACACTCACCAGCAGTATTCAGTGTTTGGCCCATCTGCTCCCACAAATTTAAATTAATTTAACATACTTTATTAATCCCAGAGGGGAAATTCATGTTTTTTTTACACTGTTGTCATATACTTATACACACAGGCCTGAAATACACACACATGCACAAACAGGACCTATACATGCATTAGATATAGAGATGTTGGGGGCACCTCGGCAGTGCCCAGGAGGTGAACTGGCACCTCTCCAGCTACCAGTACACGCTCTATATTTGGTCCGGATAGGGACTTGAACTAGCAACCCTCCGCTTCCCAAGCCAAGTCCCTATGGACTGACCTACTGCTGCCCACAAATAGGCTTTTCTGTCTTTGTTGGGACAATTTCTGACCAAAATATCACACAGCGTCTGATAGACAGTAGCTAAAGGAGAGGCAGTGTTGTCACCAGCGCCTTTCTAAAGAGTTCAGAGATTTTCAACTAAAAGCACTTGGAGCAGCCAGCACTTTTTCTCTTGGTGGCCTCATGTGGTCGCATCCACTTTCTCCTCATTGGTAATAACTGAAAAAAAAAGACGCTGCCACTCAGAAAAAAACGCTATGTGGACACAAGCCCTAAACCTTCCTGGTATACATTTGTTTAATCAACCAATTTATTTACTCAAACCCAAAATCTTTACCCCTATTAAGCAGTACTAAGATAAGTGGTAAAATATCTGTTTTTGCTTCTTTTGAGGTATCTGCAGATTTCTGTTTGGTTACATTGATGTTTTTTGCCTTTTGATAATAACTGAGTGAAGATCTATCTTCTAACTATCACCTCTCCACTGTCAAAATCAATGCATGCTCTTAGCACTTTACACACACCGTTCTCCAGCAGCGTGCAGTGTTATTATCATTCTTTGCTCTTTTTTGCTTACTCATTCCTGTGTGTTTGAGACAGCATTTCACCTCTCTTTCCCTCCCTTTCACTCCGTGGTGTGTATGTTGGGATGCTGGACTTAATCTGTTCCCTCTTTTCTACTACTTGCATGCAACAGTAGAGTAGAAGTAGAGTGGCCACTTCTGGCCAGCAAGCTTGTTTTCTTTTATTTTTCTTTGGTTGGACGTTAATTTTATTTCATATCTGATTTCAGTAAATGTGGAGGTGAAAATGGATAAACAAGGTAAGTTGTAGCGGTCTTCTTGCTTTTAAGAATCAGTGGGAGGGGAGATAAGTAAGACTATGGGGGAATCAAATGTTGCTCACTGAAAGAAAGCTCTTGATTAAATATTTACCTTTAACATCACCATGGACTCTACAACTGGAAAATCAATCGTTGGACAGTGTGTTTCCATTAATAAAACACAGATATGAAGGAATAAGAGGAGTGGAGCTACCAGCATCCTGACAAAATGTCAACATTGTCCATAATCCCATTGGCTGATGAGATACCAGTACCAAACTAAAGATATCTGTCATTTACATTTAAATCAATGAGTCATAACCATGTGCAGTGCGGATGTGTCCATTCATCAATGCATTTATTGCAAGTACTGACTTTTTTTTTCTTTCCTGTATTAGTATGCAGTCAGGCTGGAGTTTCGTACTCAGCTGTGCCTCCCAGGTCTCTCATGTTTCTGTTCTGTCTTACAGACCAATCCGATGGTAGTGACCAAACCAAGTTGGTGGTTGGAGTTGTTGTCGGTCTCCTCGTTGCCACTGTGGTTATAGCCCTGGCATACTTGGTCTACATGAAGAAATCCAAGTAAGTCAACACTGTTCTTCCCACAAATCATTGTACTGTTATATAATAATGATTCTAATCTTTTGTAGTGATTTTTATCAGTCTAGATTGTTTTGGTGTGAGTTGCAGAGAGTTGGAGAGGCTGAGGCGGTGGAGATCCCTTCCTTCTGTTGAACGTAATTGAACTAGATGGCACTCGGCATGTGGTGCTCAAAGCACCCAAACAAAAAAAAAAAATACATTTGAAGAACTCAACAGCAATGCCCTTTTCCTAGAAATCATGACCTGGTTACTCAAAATAATCCACAGACCTTGTTGTGAGCAGTTTCATCTCTGAACTATTTTCTTTCTACCAAACTACATCTGTCAACCGTGTCAGTGCACAAAAGGAAGTGTGCATCCCATGAGTAGATGCACTCTTCCTTCTGTGCAGTGATTCAGTTGGCAGGTGTAGTTCAGTACAAATACATCCTACATGAAAGTGCTCACAACAAAGTCTGTGGATTATCTTAAGTAACAGGCTAATGATTCCTGCAAAGAGACATTGCTGTTGAGTTTTTCAAATGTATTTTTTGCCTCTTTGAGCACCACAAGCTGAGTGCCATCTAGTTCCATTATATTTGATCGAAATCAGACACCTCTTCAATTGATATCTCCAACACTCAGCACCTCACACCTAAATAATCTAGACCTTTGAGCAAATCCAAATACAGTTTTTTTTTGTGAAATACACAGATACAGTACACATTGGGCACACAGCAGGTTTTACATGTCAGCTTCACTATATGTCCAGACAAGAGTGCTATACTGGAAGTTGTCATTCTGTGTGTAAATAAAAAGTGCTGCAAGAAGCTCACAACACAATGGAAACTGTTTCCAGGAGACACTAAAAACTGATGCACACAGTTTGGACATACATCAGCTTCATCACTATGTTGAAATAAGCCCCCCACCAAAAAAAAAACCCCTTACACTTAAGGTGGTTTTCCAACACTACTGACAGATAGCCCACTTCAATAACTTCATGGCAACAACAAGCGTGTCCTTCATTTGCTTGTGTTGTGTCTATTTACACACAATTTCCTAATTTGCAGTGTGCATGGATGGAGTACTTAACAGGCCTACCAGGCACAGGCCTAGGGGCCCAAAGTGTCAGGGCACTCCTGTTGACTCGCAAAATGTCACTCAAATTAAGCTACCAACCAGGAAGACACTCAAAATGAGCATAAAGAGACACAAAATTATTATAAAGCGACACAAAATGCTTATAAATGACACAAAAGATTATAAAGCCACACAAAATGACACAAAAAGATTATAAAAAGACACAAAATGATTACAAAGTGATACAAAATTATTATAAAGTGATACAAAATGACACAAAAAGATTATAAAGTGATACAAAATGATTATAAAGCAACACAAAATGATTATAAAGCGACACAAAATGATTATAAAGTGATACAAAATAACACAAAAAGATTATAAAGTGATACAAAATTATTATAAAGCAACACAAAATGATTATAAAGAGACACAAGATTATAAAGTGACACAAAATGACACAGAAAGATTATAAAGTGATACAAAATGATTATAAAGCAACACAAAATGATTATATAAAGACACAAAATGATTATAAAGTGACAAAATGCTTATAAATGACACAAAAGATTATAAAGCGACACAAAATGATTATAAAGTGATACAAAATGACACAAAAAGATTATAAAGTGATACAAAATGATTATAAAGCAACACAAAATGATTATAAAGTGACACAAAATGACACAAAATGATTATAAAGTGATACAAAATGACACAAAAAGATTATAAAGTGATACAAAATGATTATAAAGCAACACAAAATGATTATAAAGCGACACAAAATGATTATAAAGTGATACAAAATGACACAAAAAGATTATAAAGTGATACAAAATTATTATAAAGCAACACAAAATGATTATAAAGTGACACAAAATGACATAAAAAGATTATAAAGTGATACAAAATGATTATAAAGAGACACAAAATGATTATAAAGAGACACAAGATTATAAAGTGACACAAAATGACACAAAAAGATTATAAAGTGAAACAAAATGATTATAAAGCAACACAAAATGATTATATAAAGACACAAAATGATTATAAAGTGACACAAAATGCTTATAAATGACACAAAATGACACAAAAAGATTATAAAGTGATACAAAATTATTATAAAGCAACACAAAATGATTATAAAGTGACACAAAATGATTATAAAGTGATACAAAATGACACAAAAGGATTATAAAGTGATACAAAATGATTATAAAGCAACACAAAATGATTATATAAAGACACAAAATGATTATAAAGTGACACAAAATGATTATAAATGATGCAAAATGATTACAAAGCAACACAAAATTATTATAAAGCAACACAAAATGAGTATTAAGTGACACAAAACGATTATAGTGACACAAAATGATTTTAAAGCAACATAAAATTATTATAAAGTGACACAAAATGAGTATTAATAAATGACACAAAATTCTTCAAAAGACACAAAATGATTATAAATGACAAAATGATTATAAAGAGACACAAAATTATTTAAAGCAACATAAAAATGATTATAAAGCAACACAAAATGATTAAAAAATGACACAAAATGACCATAAAGAGACACAAAATGATTATAAAGCGACACAAAACAACCACAAGGAGACACAGAATGACTACAAAAAGAAATAAAGCAACAAAAAAGACACAAAATTGCCTCAAAGAGACACAAAATCACCAAATGATGTATAATAACTACAAAGAGATACAAAACCACCACAACCACCTGTGGGTCTTGCTCCTACATAGAGGGAGGTGGTGGGGCCCTTTGCATATCTGTGCAAAGGGGCCCATTGTCTTATAATCCACCTATGACAGTGTGCTGAGCTCTTTTAATATACAGTATGACTGTGGAGGTAAGGATTATCAGCATGTTGGGTAACAATGTTTTTATTCTAAACAGGCAAGGAAGCTGGAAGACTGGTGAAAAGGAGGACGGGTCTTCTGAGGAGGAGAAAAAACTGGAGGAGAAAGTAGAGGAGAACAGCCAAAAAGCTGAGGTGTAAAGAAACGGTAACCATCCTTTGGGAATGTGAAAGGTAGGAAACATTTCCATCATATGCCCAAATAAAGATGAACAAAGTCACTCTCTTTTTTTAAACATTGTTTTCGTTCTTTTTTTTTTTTTTCCAGTGAGAACGTGGGACTTTTGCACATTTCTCTTCACCTCTGTCTTTGGGGAAAAAAAAGTGTACATTTGGATGACGACGGTTTGGATTTGGTTTCAGGGAGAATTTTACTAAAAAGCATATCCAAACACCCCCCAAGCCCCTCGAACCCTCACCCTTCCATTGCTAAAAAAAAAAAGAATGGATACTGTATGTGATATACATAACTTGTCTGCACTACTGATACATGTGTAAACTTGTCTACTATTAGGATTCATGTTTGCTAGAATGGAATTTTGGGAAAGTGAGAAAATGCAGATCTTTTGTTAGTTGATGCAAGTAGAATTACTACTAGACCAGTTGCCTTTGCTGTAAGGATGCGTAGGCCTGCGTTAGTCTGACTCCGTGGCCCTCGGAGACACAGCGGGGCCCGAGGGACATCACCGCCATCGCTTGTTAGCTTCACGTCATCACGGTCAAACAACCTCTGCCTTCAACATCACTGTACTAAATCTGTTGATTTGTGCATTCATTTTAGTTTGTTTATTCAGCTGTCAAAAAAAAGAAATGGAGATGAACTTCCTGAAAGGGCTAAGGGTATGTTGTGATACTCAGCATTAGTTATAGATGGTAATCTGATTTACATGTTGCATCGCAGGAAGTAGGTGATGTGCCACGGAGTTTTTTGGCATTTCATGATTTTTTTTTTGTCGTTCTTTGATTGTGTACCTCTTTCAAAGTTACTAGAGAAAACAACATAAATCCAGTTCATTTTGTTTGTTTTTTTCAAATGTACTGTACATTCAGCATAACCACTGTATAACACACGCAGGTAGATTATTGAGAGAATGTAACTCAGCTCATATTACTGGCTTTCATTTGGCTGTATAGATTGTTTTACATAAAGCCATAGTTTGTTTTCATGCAAGAAGAAGAAGTCCTTGAGCCTGTAGTAGCAGTAAAAAGATTTCTCAATTTGTGCTCCATCAGTGTTGATATGATTTATTGTGTAGCTAAGGCATCGTTTTGTAACGGAGCACGCAGGCAGGACAAGGTGTCTCAAAGTAGCCGTCATGATATGTTTGCCTTCTTTTGAAAATCTACCTGTGACCGCTTCAGTTTGTGATGTGCACTAGGGTTCATGTTTTCATGTCAGATTTGTGTAGAATACGACGGAATACGCGCAGCTGTACATGTCACAATTTTGGTCAATGTTAAGAGCATTCGCTAAATTCGAAAAATGTATCAAGACCAGGCTGTAATTGTGAAGTATGTGAATTTAATTTTCTTTTTCTTTTGTTATTTATATTGTGCAGGATTAAAATGTCCTGGTAGGCAAATTCAGCAATCGTCACATAATTCATGACTCGGATAGAAAGCGTCGGTAAATTGCTTGCGGACTTTACAAAACTGAAATTAAGTTGTGAGTCATCAGTAGGTTGCTCAGCGTCTGGTTGAATAATAGATTCAGCATGTGATCATCTCAGACCTCCAAGCTGCTGTGTGTTGCCTACCTTGTGTAAAACCATCCAATTGGAAGAATGACCAAAGAGAGTGAACATTGCCATGCAAGTATTGTAAATACCTGATGTTTGTTTTTGTACTTTTGTTTAAAATAAAGTGTACATTTGGAAAAGTTATGTCCACTGAATATTAATTGTGTTTCCCATTTTCCATCTTTTGAAATAAAGAGCAACACAGTTCCCAAATGTTTTTCACTTGTATACATGCATGACTGTCAGGGGTGGCCTCATGATATGATACTATCACGACACTTAAGTCACAATACAATACGGTATGCTGAGTTGTGATAACATATATTGCAATTTATTAAAACTTTCAAATGCAAATTATGTTCCCCCCAAAATACTTTGTCAACATCTGTTTTATCTCACAAGATACAGCTCTCACTCTGTTCATCTCACTTCATTTTTATCACAGGTAAATGTGTCTATTGGACTGAGAAAGCAATTATTCTAGTATGCTACCTAAAGTTTGATTTGTATTTGCAGTATTCATAATTCATATAAAAGATCGATTCTTGGCATCCTTGTATTGATACAATATTGCCATGCAAAATATCACAATCCTGCGTTCTATTGATTTCTAATCGCTGAAGTTGTACAGCAATTTTACAAAACTATGAATATAGCAGAAAATAGACCATAAGAGGGCAGAAGGGAAGGTGGACATAGTGGAAAAGACTGTCATTCAGTATGTAGAATGAGTTTATTTGAATTTATTAGAATCAGTCTTGGAATTTGATGAAAATGTTTCTGCATCAGAATCAGATACAAAAATACGAAACAAAAATCACCGATTTTCGAATGTGTTTTTTCACGTTTTGATGCATTTGTGGTACAAACTATTGTTAATATTTGATTTTCATGTCTCAACAAAAGGACAATATATACTTCTGTGATGAGGAATAACTTAAGTATAACAGTATGATGACTCATTTTGATATGTCTGACATGTGAAGTCCCAGGTGGACAAAATGAATGTGAGATATTGTACATGACATTCCTATGTTGATTCACAGGTAGAAGAGAAGCACCTGGAGCATTCACACATTTACACTAACTCAGACAACAGATTCATAGCAAAGCTCATCTGGGATTTAGCACTTTTACTGCAACAATTTGTTTAGTCTTCTTATTGAAAATGGTTCCCAAATAAAAAAACCTGTAATCCTGGCTGTTTTAGAAACCATTAGGCTAGACATAACATTAACATAAAAAGCCTCCATGCTGTCGCCAGTGTGACCACAACAGGAAAACAAATTGATGGATGAAGAGGTATGACACGTGCATAAGATGCTTGTAATCACCTCAGATTCAAAATCATTTAAACTTCTTCACCATTAACTTGTAATTGAAGTACTATTGAAGCATAATTTTTGAATAAACTATTTTTGCTACTCCACCTCATTACAGAGAGAAATATTGTACTTAATGCTCAGCTAGATTCATCACACAGCTGTAGTTAATATTTCAGACACAATGATTTAATCCACATATGAAATATAGCACATTTTTATACAATAAGCTCCCCAACAAACAGGTACATCATTAAAATGCTGCGTACATGTTAATGCACCAATCATATTAATTCAAAAATATAATTTGTATCACATATAAATAAATATAACACTCTGTAATGGGAGACTCTGCATAATGAATGTTGGCAATTGTGACACTTTAAGTATATTTTACTGACACTGCACACTGCTTCTGTACTTAAGCAAAATTGTGAATGCAATGTTTTTACTATATGATATTACTACTTAAATAAAGAATCTGAATACTCCGCCCAGCACTGCCATTATCTTTATACCACACAATGGCAAAACAGTATCTTTGGAATCTATTTTGACTCAGTGCTGGTGTCTCAGCAGGGGCTTTAACATTATATCAGAGTGAACAACATCATGGAAACTGAGTTCCGCATGTGAGGACACTGGTGAAGAGAAAAGGCAGGAATGTTTGATCTGTGAGTTTTTTGAGCCATGAAGGCCCGAAAGGACAAAGACACCCTGATGTGATTAAAACGATTTCAACTGGAAACATAAATTTACTTTTTTTACACAATCTAAAAACACAATATTTGGTCAATAATCACATGAAATGCAAGGTCATTTACAGGTCAGTGTCGCCAGCACGTTCAGTCTGTTGCAGTGATCGCTCTGCATGTGATTAGCCATTACCTTTAACCATCTGCTGCTCAACCAGTCAGTGACATGAGGCCCCATCTCTAAATAAAGTGTACACTAAGAAATTTAAACAGCATGGACGTGATCACCAGATGGTCTGCATAATAGTGGACAAAATGAGCTTCTGCTGCCATCCTGTGGTGAAAGAATATACTGCAACAATCAGCGTTGGAATCAGGGAAAAATCTGTAAAGAGTATGTTGTTGTTTATTTCCAGTAACAGAGACTGTGTTTATACAGCTGAAGTCTGAGTGTATGAGCCACACGGTGGACTTTTATTCTAACTTTTACAATGTGAGGAAAAAATCTGATCAAACAGACCAGGTGCTCTGGCCTACTTAGATCGGAAAACATTAAGCTTTTACACATATAGCTACATTTGTGGTTACTGTTCAAAAGCATTATCAGTATCACAAGAAGAATACTTGAAAAAATAATTTAAGAATCCAACTACTGATAAAAATCACAGATACATATAGGGTTGTTTTAAACACGCTGAAGTTCGGGGTTGCATCAACACTAAAACATCCCAATATATTGTTAACAGGGTTATTATGACTGTACAATGACTCATTTTAAACATGGCTGACGTGAAGTCCCAGGTGGACAAAATGAATGTGAGATATTGTACATGACACATTCCTGTGCTGGTTCACAGGTAGAAGAGAAGCAGCTGGAGCATTTACACAGTTACATGAATGCAGACAACAGAAAAAAAAGATCCAATACATGACTTAAAATGATTAACTGATGGATAGTGAAACAGGAAGTTGACAGGGTTGATGGTGACACCTTCCTCTCCTGTCTCAGTCACTGAAAGGAAAGCTTAAATGATGATCTCTTCTATTTTAGTCACGTATTTGATCATTATAGAAGACTGGCATGTAAATATCTCAGGTGGATTTTTGAGGTAACTATATTTTGAGGTAAATCCTTCACATTTACAGCAGTATTTTATAGCATTAAAACATGATTATCACAAGACATTTAGTTTGTGATCATGTCACACAACAACTTCTGTGGCCTTCAATAAGTACTGCATATCTCTGGCAATAAAGAAAAAGAAAACAGAAAGATGACCAAGAGAATTGGTGCACCAAAAAACTTCAGACAGAGTTGTGGGAACTTGTACTGCAATTACTTGAAAACAATGCCGCAAATCAGTGGTTAGAGTTCCTAAATGTTTTCCTTTACATGGTTGTGACAATAATCATTTCGTCATTTGATGTACCTTTGTTTTAGAAATAGCTTGGGCCAGATAAGGGGTTAAAGGAATACTCTACCAGCAAAATGAGCATTAGTAAATCAGTTAGTCATGTTGTTTTACACTGAATTCATGAAGTAAACTTTGTCTTTCTCGCATGCCTTCATGGAAAAACAGCAAACATACTGATTTGTTAATTGACTGTTACCTGTGTTGAGCAACAGCAATCCATTGTATTCAGCAATTTATCCAGTCATATTCTCAGTACTTCCTAAACACAAGCATTTTCTAAAACCTTACGATTTAAAACTGAACTGAAAGTAGACTCAAATACTAAGAAACATGCATGTTTTTGTTTTTTTTTAACAAAAAAGCATGCATGTTTCCTTGAAGGTGTGCAAGGAAAATAAAGTTTTATTCGGGAATTCGATGTAACACGGCATGACTGATTGATTTACAAATGGTTATTTTGTGGTGAAGTATTCCTTTAACTTAGTCCAGGACTTCATGATCAAAAAATACAAACTTAAAAAAAAATGTTCTAGACTGAAGCTTTACTTTATATGTTGTGCTATGCATATATGTGATACTGAATCACCTGTTTACTTTATTGGTGAAATCTTTTATCCTAATTTTAATTATAAAATCATTGTTGGCATTGTTTATTCTCTGACATCCTAATCTGCACAGATGTATGGAATTGTCATCTTTATTTTCTCATCATCTTTCTGTCATTTTCTCTTTCTGTGGGCTTTGAACATTAGGTGTGGTTTGACAAAGGTCATGTATTCATCTTAAAAAATCTTGTTTTCGGTCGCTTTATGGCACCTGGGGTTTGTGTGCTGTGGTCACATGTGATGCAGACTGCTGTTGTGGGCTGCAAGTAACAATATATGATCAATCACTCACTGATAGCACTCACTCAAAGACACTCTGCACTGGATGTCCTTTAAGTATAGCCTTTGTTTACCAAGTAAAAAAAAACTAACACAAACAGTAACATGACCAGTAATGACATATGAGTATTTTGAAGAAGCTTTTTGGCAAAATTGAAAATACATGCCTGCATGCAGGAGTAGATGTACTGCACATCTTACAAAGCCTGTGCTTCACTTGTTATTGGACAGGCTTTTGTACTGTTTTACTGTAGTTTAATGGCACAGGTCAAAGTCTTCTGTTAAGAATTTCTGGCTAAAGGAGTTGAGGAATTAATAAAGAAGTCATTATTCTGGGTTGAAGTATTCCTGTCAGCTATAACGTCCTGGCCCAGAAGCCAATAGGACTATGTTTAATTTCAGGACAGCTATTTGCTCATCCCTGGAGGTATCAGGAGGGAGAGATAAAAAAAAGAAGAGAAATTTAAAGGAAAGAAAAAGAAAAGCAAGACGGACATAGGAAGCAATACAAATTGAAATGAAAAAAGAAATGATGAAGGGTAAGATGGCAATTTGTCTGAGGAAAGTGTTATATTTTGACATATCGTCACTCCCACCTCACCACATGTCGCTGCTTGGTCGTGAACTTTCCATGTCGACATATGACAGGCAAGGAAGTGTAAGTGCAGGGGTGTAAATATAAACAGTGCAGGCAGTCCAATTGTACTGGGGCCCCTGGGGTGGAGGGGCCTGTAGAGAGAGAGGGCCCTTGCAAGTGATTCAGATTACCACCCTGGAAATATACCTGTATTCAAAGATAAATGATTAAAAAGAAAATTATTAATTTAA